TTTCTCATCTAGTTTTTCTAGGAGAACATCCTTGATTATTAATGAACTTTAAAATTGCTCTAAGGGTGAGGGGTGATCCTAGTCTTGGTCATTGTTAAAGGAAATCCTTTAGGCTCAAAGTTGGACAACAAGGAATAAGTTTTTATTTATAAAAAAAAGTATACCAAATGGCCTTTCTTCATCTCAAATATGATCTTGTTTAGGTCGATAAGCTCTAGTTTCATTTGAAAACTATGCTTGACTTGTAAAAAAGAAGTGATGGATAAGGTGCAATCCTAACTTGAATGCATACCACTCATCATCATTTAAGACATCAAATCACTTTTTTTGGTTTTTTTATTGTTATTTTTTGTTTTGATTTTTGTTGTTTTTTTTAGACATCGATGTATCATCTTAGGCAAGACTATCTTGGAGGGACTTGTTAAGAATAGGAGAGGAATATTTTTGGTTTCAAAAAGAAAGGGACTCGCCCTTAGCATTTACACGACATGTTTTGAAAGTTGGTTAATGTTGAAAGACTTTGAATGAGTTTTCCATTTTATTCGTTTTGATTTAGATGACATAAAATGAAAATGATACTTTTAAATAAACATCTCTTGATTTCAAATAGATAATAAAACTATGTCAAGATATTTGGATTTTTTTTTCCAAAGAAATGACCCAATCCATAAAAATTACAACACTTTTGCAAATGAAATTCAAAAATTCAATATAAGGTAAGATTTCAAGTAACAAAATTAAGACACGTTCATGCTTCTCTAATGAGCTTTGGTTACCCTCCTCGTATTCATTCTTATAAACATTATAATCAAAGTTATGGTTGGCTCCTTTTTTTAACGTAATCATTTGGTGTTTTTACCCTCGGATATGATCATATTAGGTGTCCTAAAAATATGGTAAAAATGAGAATAGAACACAATAGGAAAAAGAAGATAAAAATGGTACTTTGGGAAGAAAATTTCGACAATCCCATAAATTAACATCCTATGAAAGTGTGATAGATAAATGCAATAAGAAAATTACTTGCCCTTAAAAACCAAAAGGTGCTTCTTCATCGGATCGGTCATTCAATTTTTTCCCCTAGTTGTCTCATAGATAAGTTGATCAACATCAAGGACGTCCTTAAATGAGCTAGCAAAAATCACTATCATTTTTAGACTATCAAACACCGACCTAAGCTATATGACTTTGCTTTTAGCATCAACTTTCTCTCGCACTCAAAACGTTCGCTACCATAACATGAGATGGTTGGCTCAAACTCAAGTCTTTGCTTTGTAAATTAGTAATGTATAAAGACTTCTCCGATTTCTTTTCCCCTTTTTCTACTCTCTAGGTGCCCGAATTAGCATGGTCTCGTACTTCTTAATGAAATTCATGACAATCATCAATATAATGACCACTCTATTTATGAAACTTATAAAAGGATTTCACATGAATAAGAGGTTAAGAATTTATCGATTTTTTGTCAATATTGGTAGTAGATAACATGTTAAACAAAAAAGACATGGAAATTTAAAAATGTATTTTTGTTATCACACCCAATGTCATCCAATGATAATATGTTCACTCCATTAACAAGCAAGATGATTGGAGAAGCCTAGATAATCTTCAATATTATGATTAGAGAATTCTAGTGCTTTAAACTTTTTAGGAATCATGGTATTCAAAATCAAGCATCTTTCTATTGTCAAAGGGGATTGTACATGTTTACACCCTCGATGAATCCGAGATATTCCTCATTGAAATTGAGTTTCTTAGTTTCAATCACTCGAGCTTAGTTTTTCTTTAAGCTTTTCATTAGCAGACTAAATCAACCATAAGAGTTGCTTGAGTTTGTAAATTATGTGGCTATCATGGAATCGAGCCGGAGACTTCAAAATGGATATACTTAGACATGTCCCAAGTGTAGTATGACTAGTTAGATTCACAATGTTCATCACCTCTTGATGGAAAGTGGAGAAAAGTGGCACAAAAATTACCGATTGAGTAGAGGGTATCGATATGATAGTGAACACCTTAGGGGTGATAGTTGATTAACCCATTTCTTGACTAAAAGGCACTTCAGTAGATGCGCTAGTTTATAGATTTTTCTTAAGTAAAGTAGCTAGCTTAAATGCTTATGATTTCAAAGTGCTTAACTCCTTCGATGTCTTTGCTCAATGTGAACCCTTTCTTCATTGTCCATTCTTGCTTTGGCTTCGGTTGTTAGTCTCTTGGGGGAAACATAGTTTTGATAGGATGACTTATGCTTCTATAGGTAAATAACAAAATACAACAATATAACTAACATTGACATAAAATAAAGACACTTGATTGGATATTAAGTAGTCATCTATGAAAGGTGACAAAAGAGTTCCTTCTTTTTTTCATCCACGAGATTGTTTGTAATAAGTTTAATAATATGATTATTCACATCAATAACCTTTCGACGCTTGCTTAAATTGAGTTTGAACTCTTTTGTCACCTATCTTGAAACATCATGACCAAATTATTTTCGTCAAGGTTTCAAACATGTTTGACTTACCTAGTTTGTTTAAACAAGAAAAGATGGTCTTAAAGTCGGGTTCTAGCCATTATATGAGGGGTAAGTCTCAAAAGGATACTCGTTTAACCGAGTGAGTCTTTAGTAGAGTCACTAGGACTATCCATGGTAACATTAGTAATCATGAAAAATCATCGATTATGCATCATCGATAGCGAGTTAGTAAGAAGGCTTGAGGTTTCATGAGTGCTTACTAGGGGTGAAACCCATCGGGGCACCACTACTAACTCTCTAGATCCTAAGACAAATGCGAATGACAGTTTTAATTATGTAGTGTAGTGTGTGGAGGCACAACTCCATGTCAAGTCTCATAAGTACAAAATAAAAGGCTAAAAATTAAAGAATTAAAGTCTGTAAGGAAAGATAACACAAACAACACACATATATACAAATGCATTTTCGTCATAAAAAGGAAAATAGACAAACAAATAAATTAAAACTACTCACTTAAAAAACCAATAGGCATAGAGGCATAAAAAATGATAAAAGATTTAAAACATAGATAATTCAAAGCTTAAAACTAGCATGGTAAGTCCCTACTGGAGTCGTCAATTCCGTCCACATCTCGCCATCGTGAGAAGGGCTAGAGTAAGGAGTTACCACCTAGCTAATCGAAAAGAACTAAAAAATCTTAAACATACTAGTCTATATAGATATTTAGGTAAGAGGTTGGTTATATATGGGAAAAATATGACATCATAACTATCCCGTCCTACCTAAGGTAAGTCGCATTATTTGTCTATAAACATAAAAATCTAGTTTTTATTATGCTATGCTACTATACCTATTTAAATGAGTTTATTTTGTAAAAATATGAAACAAAATGGTTTAGGTGTAAAATAGGATAGTTTTGGAGTTCGAGTCAATCTAAGGTCAATACTCCCTAATCAAAAGGGAAAAGGTAAGAGAAATTTAGAATTTTGACTAATTATTAGTGAGCACGACCTATTATTAATAACTAGGTGAATTTCTAAAGATGAATAACCTTTTTATTGGCATGAGCGACGAGTCACCGGCAATTTCACTCACATAAGTGGGAAGCTACCAAGACTTCGAGTTATGGATTTAAGAAGTTACCGATAACTTGGTCACATAAGTGAAAAGCCATCAACAACTTCACGTCTCTCAAGTGAGGAGCAAATGATTATTTCAAAAGTCACTAGCAGACTTCGTCACATAAGTGAGAAACCACCTGGTAGCTTCGCTTCAAATCGGTAAACATTAAATAAAAATTATTTCAAAACCCTCCAAAGGCTGCGTCACAAAAGTGGGAACCTATTGACAACTTCATTATGATGGAATAAAAAGAAATAAAAAACAAAAAATAGGAAACAGGAAACAAGAATTCGAAAATAGGAATCAAGAATCAAGAATTAAGAATTAGGAAACGAGATAAAATGATTTTGAAACCACTAACGGCTTCGTCACTTAAGTGAGAAGCTACCGATAACTTCATTTTATCATTGCAATCAACATGAAAAGTCAATTGAACCATAAAAACTAGCATAAACTTTGTATTTAAAGAGACGAGCATAAAAACAAAAAAAAACAAAAAAAAGGTATTTTGTCCCTTAACGACCATTGTAGTAATATTCATTTTACCCACATTTAATTCATGAATGTTAAGCTAAAATTCATAATTTTATTCACATTCCAAATAGACCAATCATTTTTAACATTTATTATATTTTCGAAGCTGCAACGATCTTAAAATTTTTACTCAAAAATATTGAAATTTTGAAGTTTGATTTGAAGTCAATCTTACTCTTTTCGTTCCCGATGATAATTGATTATTCGATTAGCAATGAAAGGAGAATAACTACTGGTTGGTAATATGTGATGTGAATGCCACGAGAATGACTAAAAAAATCCTCAATTGCTCATGCAAATACTCTAAAAGTTGTTGGAAAATTTACAAAGTTCCCGAAATTTTATAAATTTTTCAAAAAACTCAAGGTGGCTTTTGTTGTCGTGTTTTCCTACCTAAAATCAAACAAATGCAGTCTACAATATCATGTTGTTCCCGCCAACACAATCTAACACAAGAAAGGTTTTTTTTTTTTTTTTATCTTTTTCTTTCTTTTGTTCCTCTTTTTGTTTTAGCGAACTTAAGAGTCATGTTAGGTGAGGAAAAGGCTAGTCGAAAGGAGGATGTAGGGACTATAAGGGGATTGTTTTATGGGAGGTTGTTTAGAAGTAGTAAGGGGTTGTCTTTAGGATTTAGGTAAGGTAAATGCTACCTAAAAAGGGGCTGCAAGGAGGTTGTTTAAGGACTATTTAGAGGGCTATTTTTGGGTTATTTTAGGGGTGTTTTAGGGATCGTTTTAGGAGTTTTTAAGGGGACTGTAAAGGGCTAAAAAGTTAGCAAAAAGGCTGCCTTAAGGGGTTATTTATAGCGAGACTACTTGGTCGGCATGTGAAAAAGGCTAGCCAAATTGGGAGTTTATTCAGCTGGAACATGGGGGTTTTAAGAGGGAGAGAGTTAGCGAGGAGATTTTTTTCTCGCAAGCCGCTTAGCATGGGTGTTCGTTTGTTCGGGGAGGGGAGAAGCCGGAGGACGCGGGACGGGCCTATGCTAGCATGTAGGTGAAGCTGGTGCGTAGACAAGCCTATGCTAGCCTATGGTGGAGCTAACGCGTGCAAGACCGGCTTGTAGTTAGGGGCTGGCGCGAAGAGGTGTAAGATTGTATGGTGTGTTGATGCAATGAGGTGCGGGAAAGGTGGTAGAGGCCGTGTTACACTCAAGGCTACTCGGTTGGTCCGCTGCGAGCTACCATGCATATAGGTATGCTTGGCCTACTACGGCTAGAGTTGCGGGCGATAAGGTGTGTAAGACTAGCTCGTGATGGCTTATGGACTAGCGTCGATAGTAGATGAGATTGGCGAGCAAATAGTTAACGTTAGCAGCAAGCAAGGGGCTAGCACTTGTATGTCCGCTGGCGGCATAAGCGTACGTGCGGGGTGGTCGCTGCGTGAGAGCTAGGTAAGAGAGATGCGGGGTTGGCAATGGCTCTTAGGTGGCAAAGGAGCTTGTGATAGGGTGGCTAGCTGATTGTGTAGGGTGATAGAGAGACTGTGAGGTGTTTTTTTTTATGAAAAAGGGAATCTTGAGAAATGGAAAAGTTACCAAAGAGAAGGAGAGAGAGGGGACGGGAAAGGCTTTCAAATGGGAGAGATGAACGAGTAGATGGTATAAAAAAATACATAGAGGGCTTTTTATAGGTAGTTTTGTTTATGGCAAAGTTTGTTTTGGCCTTCAATTCTTTACCACCCATTAATTCGAGTTTAAATTTGTTTTTTTTTCTTTTTTTTTCGATAGGGCCCTTAAATTTAAACTATTTAGGACTTTTCTTATTAATTTCTTCTAATTGTGCTCTTAATTATCTCTTTTTTTAATTATTTCTTAACTTTCCTTCTTCTTTTTTAATTAGCCCATTTCCTAAAATTAATCTAAGCTAATTATTCCCATAGATTTTTTTCTTTTTTGTTTTATTTTCTCCTTTTTATCAATTTTTTTTATCATTTTTTTGATATTTTTTAATAAAAATTAGAGAAACAAAATGAGAGCAAAAATTAGGTGATAACAACATTTATAAAAGATAACAATTAAAAAAGTAAAAAGTTTAAACTATTAATTAATGAATATTGACTAAATAAATTTATTCTACCTTATGGAAATTTTTTTTGACAAAATGAAAAGACATAGATCAAGTTATTTTGGCCTAAGCTATTAAAATAAAATGTTAAAAAAAATTTAATAGTTCATTTTGAGTTGAAATTAGTAAGGAAAGTTATACCTATTAACGATTTAATGGGCTTTTGCAATAAAAAATGAAATTAATAATACGAGTATAGAGTCATAGAGCCATGTGTCTTACATTGATCGTAAGACACGATGATAATATCCTCAACCTATTGGGTCCAAGGTTGGAGGTGTTACACGGTGGTGTCAAAGCATGGTTTACCTAGAGATGAAATGAAGGCATGAGTAAGGTACACGGGAGATAAACTTCAATAACAAGTAAGTGTGTTTGATTCTTGAAATGTTATATTACTTAGTGAATGTGAATGATGAATGTAAAAGGCATGATGATTTATTGTGATAAATTGTTATGTTCAAATGATGTGTGTGTGAATGATTTGTTGCTATGCAATCAAATATTATAAATGACTACAATGTAAATGTTGATTGTGGATGATATAATTAAAGTGAATGTTTAAGGAATTAATTGAGTGACGTAATTTATGTTGTCTATACATGTGAATTAAAGAGAGGAAGGATGCCCCAAAAAGGGTTAATGATAATAATATTAGTAATTGTACGAGGCCGAGCCAATCGATTTTGGATCGAGAGGGGGAATTAATAGAGCCGCTCAAAAGGCGGTAAGAGATGATAGAGCGAGTAACAAAAGAGGCATGAGTAACAAATACAAAAGATAATGGAAATGCAACAACGTGGGTTGAATGAAGCATAGCCATCATAGCGAGTCGAAGTGGTGGAATGCTTCCAAAGGTTTAACCCAAAGGAGTTTAGTGGTGGTCTAAATTCCACCATTGTGGAAGAATGGATTGAATCCATGGAAGTTACTTTCAAGCACTTAGATATGAATCATTTAGATCGGATAGCGTGTGCAACCTTTATATTGGTCGGTGATGCTTAAAGTTGGTGGGAGTCAATGAAAGTTCCTTTTGATGTGCCACGATTCACATGGGAGCGATTTAAGGAGATGTTTAATGAGAAGTATTTCTTGGATACGAGTAAGGTCCTAAAAAATCCAAGAATATCTACATCCAGATTGAAAAAGATATTTCGGTGATGGAATATGTTTGTAGATTTCAGCATGGTCGTCATTTTGCTACCTTTATCTCCGAAAATAAGGAAAAAAAAGAATCATTTTCTTCGTAGGCTAAAAGCGGAGATTAGAAGTTTCATTCAAATGTCCGCAAATAGCTATAAAGATATGGCGAGAAAGGCACTCGAAATTGAGATAGATTAGAAGGAATGGACACAAACACCTTTTAATACGAGTAAAAGAGGAAATTTTGAAGGAAGCTCATGCCATGCCCTACACTATATAACTCAATGGTACTAAAATGTACCTAGATCTCAAAAAGATCTATTAGTGGAAGGGAATGAAATGTGATATAGCATAATTTATGGTGAGGTTTTTGACATGTCAACGAGTTAAGGTTGAACATCAAAGAACCTCGGGATTATTAAGACCGTTCGACATTCCTAAGTGGAAATGGGAATACATATCAATGAATTTTATATTTGGATTGCCACGATCAGAATATATAGCTAATGGTATTTAAGTCATTATAGATCAAGTAACCAAATCAGCTCACTTTTTAACTATCAAGTCAATGTATTTCATGAAATTCCAATATCAATCGTGTAGGATTTTGACCATGGTTCATATCATGATATTGAAAAAGTTTACAAGAAGTGATGGGAACCAAGTTGAGCTTTTAGCATTGCTTTTCACCACAAAGCAAACTATAAATAGAAAGGATGAATCAAATACTAGAGCATATGTTGCAATCTTGTGTGCTAGACTGGTTCGCAATACATTGGGATGATGTAGGCAAAAGGAAATTGCTAAGACCAAAATTAATCCAACAAACAACTAATGTAGTGCAACAAATTAGAGAAAAAATGAAAACGATCTCAAAGCCAACATAAAATTTATGTGGATGTAAGAAAAAAAGGCTAGAATTTGAGGTTTGTGATAAGGTATTTTTAAAGGTGGCTTCGATGAAAGGTGTAATGAGGCTTGGGAGAAAAGAAAAGTTAAGCTCGAGGTATATTGGATCATATGAAATACTAGAAAGAATTGATGACAGAGCATACAAACTAGCATTACCACCTTATCTCTTCTTAATCCATGATGAATTTCACGTGTCCATGCTTGGCAAATATGTCGGGACCCAACCCATATACTCGAATAGTGATCCATTAGACCTCCAACTCGACATGAGTTATGAAGAAGGACCGATACAAATGTTGGATCAAAAGGTTAATTAATTATATAATAAAGAGGTTCCCTTAGTAAAAGTACTATGGAGGAACCATAATATTAAGGAAGTGACATGAGAAAGAAAGGTAGAAATGTGAACTACATATCTCGAATTATTTAGTTAGAAATTTTAGCAAGGAAGGGAGGGTGTAATACACCAAACCTACAAATAAATGAATTAATACATCTTAAACATGTATGAAAATTTTCTTATGAGCATAAAAAAATTGCTAAAGAGGTGCTTGAATATTCGGTGTACTTAAGTTAATTTTTACGTGCTTGGTGAATATTTTATTTACTTTTATGTATGTGAATAGTGCATTTTTATGTAAAATAATTATTTTGAGTGCCTAGATAAGTGTATAAAAAATTAAGTGATTGATAAATAAATTACTATAGAAAGTGTATAAATTTATTGTGAAAATAAATTATTTCTCTCAAGTGTGTGGAATTAATTATGTCCATAGGAATTTAATTGCATGAGATTAGGGACCTAATTGCATAAAATTAGGAACCCAATTGTATAAAATTAAAATTTTTAGCTCTCAAATAAATTTTAAGGGGCATAAAGATATTGAAAAAGCCTTAGACAAAAACCAAAAGTAGTCAATTAAAAATTTGAGGGATTGAAAGGTATGGATAAAAATTAAATGGTGTCATAAATCAAGGGACTAAAATAAAAATTTTGACAAAAAATTTTCCACCTTAACCCGCCACCTCATCCTCCATATTAAAAGAATGTAATAATTAATTAAATAAATGGAAGGCTAGGATTAAAGTGATGAAGGTTTAGGATTAAAAGAAAAATGGATGGTGGAGATTGAACTAAATAAAAGGCTAGGATTAAGAGAAGAATTAAGGGTAGAGATTAAACCAAATGAAGGGCCAAGATCAAGTCAAAAAAAAAAAAAAATTCCACCTAATCTTACCTTAAATTTGGCTTGGAAGGAGGAAGAAAAAAGGCAGGAAAAAAAAAAGAGGCTAAACTCTTGTCAAATTTTCTAAAAAAATTACAAGCTCATTCAACCTAAATACTAAAAACACCCTTAAAATACTCTATTAAGCCTAGAATTATAGTTGGAAAATCAAAAAAACCAAGAGAAAAAAAATTGAGCAAGTGGCTGAAACTTGAAGGACGAAAAAGGGGAAAGAAAATCCAACCTAAAAAGGATTAAATTGGAGCATTTAAGGTAGGTTAGTCTCACTTACATCATAAGAATTTATTGTTTGGTGTGAATTGTTGGTTTTGCATATTTAATTCAAGTTTAATTAAATTAATTGAATGAATTAGGGTTAGGGTTCTTGAGCATGAGAATTGGGAGAAATGCTTTAAATGTTGAAATTGATGGTGGAATATACTAATTGAGCATGAAAATAAGTGAAAAAAATGCAAAACGACCTAGCCTTATTCTATAGGAAATATTCGAACAAAATAGTATTTTTAAGGTTTATGGTGCTTTTGGTTTATTGATGTTTAATTGATTGAATACATGTTATTGAAGTATATTTAGATGATTTAACATGAGAATTAACATTAAAATTTAAAAATTCACCTAGATTAACCTAGGTACATATTCAACCAAGTCAAGGAATTTTAGGGTTTATGATGCTTTTGATTTATGAGTGTTTAGTGGGTAGAATTCATATGATTAAAGTGTATTTAGATGATTTAGCATGTGAAATAGTATTAAAATTGAAAAATCCACCTAGAATTAGGGTTAGAAGTCTTATTTAGGTATTATGGTTGTTAGATGGTTTGAATGATGAAGTTAGAATAGTTAGATGGGTTAGTATGTGAATTGGATAATTCACCTAGCTAAGGTAAA